CTGCTGGTCAGTTTCAGCAGCGGCTGAATCTGGACGCCAGTTCCGACTTACATACTTATTCAACTTAAGAACAAACCTACAGTCCCTACCTTGTACGTAACCCAGGGACTGCCTGTAGTTCATAAGTTGACACAAGTTGTATCAGCTACACGATTAGTTAGATAACCATAATTTAACATCCTTAGAAAGTATAGCCATTTAAGTGTTTTTAGTTTATGTACAATTTTTAAATGATTAGTTTTATTTCCAGTGTTATAGCTTCGACATGCACACAGTTATTCAAGAGGTCATCAAAATGACTATAGCTTTCTCCAATGAAAGTTTTGTTATTTAGGTGGATGGAACTAGCTGCCAGAAGGTAGAAGATATAGGTTGCGTTTCCCCTTAAAACAGAAAATGTTCTATTCAACTTGGACTTCTGAGAGTGAACCTGTTAAGTGCACTTCAACATTTAAATGCTTAGTTTCAGACACAAAGAATATCCCCATCCTTGCTTTATCGGAGAGAGAAGTATATTAGCTGGAGTCACACAATGCTCTCAACAGCAGGAAAATTCTGCAGCAAGGAAGAGATTTACAATTTCCCTTTTCTTCATCAGCTCAGAAGTGGCTACAGTTTCTTGATCTTCAGTCATTTGTCTGCTTTGAAGTTAATTGAGCTGAGAAGTTTGCTCTGACTGATGGGACAGTAATTCACATCTGGTGGACTAGTGCATTTGGATCCAAGCTAATCAGTGTTTAAAATAAGACCATGAAGTCCAACAAGAAAGATAGAGATTACATACCTCTTGCACTGAGCATGGTAAAACCACTCGGCTGAAAGAGAAAAGGAACCAAGTGAATGCATAACACAAACGTCTCTGTTCTATATGCAATACCTGTATTAGCATTTATTGTCAAGCAAGCATAGGTGGTCAATGAACATTATTCATAAAGTAACATATGCACAATATGATGGGACCGTGTAGTTGAAAACACAGTTACACACCCGGCATGTGGGGAACCAGCTCCTGCAGAGCTCCCTGGCCCCCTATTTAAAAGCCACCCACCCAAGCACCAAGCTGCCATGGAGCTGCCTGCCCCCCTGCTCGCTGGTGCCAAAAGAGAGAGGAGACAGGAGCCAGTACTCATGGGGAGCCAGTTTAAAAGCTAATCTCCTGCCTCCCCTGCATATGTAAACATAGCCGCTGAAAAACGTTTACAAATAAATGTATTTTAACATCCCTAAAGCAAAATCCAGTTAACCAAAGTGCAATCCCATGTAAAACACATGTAACACATAAAAAAGTTTGAGGGGTTGAAGTAAGGAGACCCAAGAATTATATCCAGCTCTGCCATTACCTTGAAGTGATGTCAGACACAAACTCTGGCTATCCCAAGTGACTAAGGCAAGGATCTGCAACCTATGGCTCAGTATGGAACCTAATATGGCTCTTTTATCATTCCCAAAAATACATACAACTTCTTAAATTAAAATGAAAAATTAAAAATTTTTAACACGTAAATTACTCATGTAGCTAGAATGCGTGCATGAACCTAATGTGACCAGTTATGATGTAAACGTTAAAGAAATGTGCGAAAACAGGCAGCAGCAGAAGTCCCATTAAATAAAATCTGAGTACATTTCATTTATGCTATTAATCATCATGTCAATCAATATTAAGTTGTATATTTTCAGTCATGCAAATGGACATTCTTATATGGCTCTTTGTTGACCACTTGTTCTGAATTATGATGCAGTTTGGCTCTTTGGTTTAAAAAAAAAAAAAAAAAAAAAATGGCCAAATCCTGGTTTAAGGCAAGAAAGGACCACCAAACCATTGAGTCCAAGGATTTTCAAATTTAGGGTCATGACCCAGTACTAGGGTTACCAGATCGTTTAAAAAAAATACCGGACACACCGGATCTCAGATGGGGGGGGAGAGAGAAGAGAAGGAGAACCGGCTGGCAGGGAGCAGGGCTGGCCCAGGTGCACGCAGATCCCGGGAGTGCTGTAGTCCTGCCCAGGGGATTCCATCCCACCCCCCTCCTCTCTACTGTATAATTGTGTACTGCCTGGCAGGTAGACATGCTCATGCAGTGTGAACATGTCTACCAGCCAGGCAGTACGCAACTACGTACCGATACTCATGATGATAAAACAATTAGGAAATAGCAGACACTACTGAAGATGCAAAGAGAATGAATGAGAAAGACCACAAGTCTGAGTGCACTGAATTTCTTTAATTATTGTAACTATTAAGTACTCATTAAAAAAAGTAAATACAGATTGCTTTTCACTGCATTTGCAGCAGCAGCTAGGGATGTTAGATAGCAGGTAATAGAATATAGTTGACTAACCACTAAGAATTCTTGTGCCATGA